CTCCCCCCCCACCAGTAATTTGTAACTATTATTATTGCATAACAAACTGTTCTCTTTTAAGGTTTGATGTATACAATATCTCTTCTTTTATGTTTGGCATGGTTTTAAATTATACATTGTGCATAATTCCTCACAAAATGCTGGAGTTTCACTTACCTAAATTAATTCTGTTATCCAAAAGTCTTTTCAACAGGGGCTTTACCAAAGGTTGGGGTAGCTGAGGATGTGCTGTAGCTTCAAACTTTGTCTTGGAGATGACACTAATAAAGTTTCCAAAAGCACCAGAGACTTAGAAATCTGAGTCTACTGACTTTCTGTAGGACTTGTGCCCCTACATCAGTTGTTTTGAAAAACCCCATTTTACTCCCTCAAAATTAAGTATTATTCTCGAAACTCAGTGATTGGGACAAAAAAGACTCCCTGTCTTAATAAGGTAGTGCCTCATCAAGTGGAGTGGTATACAGGGGAAGTCATGGCAGTAATGGGGAGAAGAGCAAAGTACTATCAAAAGCTACCATTCAGCCCGGCAGGGACATCATCGGCCCAGCAACCTGCATAGCCATATAGTCTTATATGGATTACAGACCCCAAAGGCATTTGATTCATTGGCATTGCCCACCAGCCCTTTTGTCAGTGGTGGACACAACTTCATTGTCATTCTCTTACACTGGAGTCCAGACCAGGGATAAGTAACCCCTGGCACAGGTGCCAGAGTGTGGCACACAAAGGCATTTTGCTTGGCACATGTGCCTTGGAGCAGACATTGGGGAAGGTGCCACGGCTGTGCTGCCACAACAAGGATCAGGCCTCTTGTAGCTCTGCTGCTGGCACACAAACATCTTACAAGTCGAGGTTGCCAGTGTTTTTGACACTCTGCCCAAAAATGTTGCTGACTCCTGATCTAGACATCTGTTGGTCAGTTGTATTGTCCCAGCTTTGTTTTCTTTCTGCAGAAGAACTTGGCTGATTTTCCTACCAATCCTCTTCTTTGATAGCATATTTATCACCTGTCTCTGAGAACAAAACTTAAAAGTGCAAATACTAGCTGAAATTGCAAGCACTAAGTCATGGGACAAAACACTTGAAGACGTGCCTGAGCACTTGCATCAAAGTGCAGCATGCTGGCATAACAAAAGTCCAGAAGACAATCTAAATATGTCAAGTCCATTTCCCCAGGATCTTGGAAAAGCTAGTAATGTTCCAAAGGCAAGAAAATTAAATCACTAGCATCTAAACACAAAAGTTGCGTAGAGAAGCTCCAAGCAAAAGTTGATAGGGTGAAAGTAGGTGCAAATAAAAAGCACTTTCTAGAGCTTGCTTTGTTGGAAAGCCTCCTGGAAAGCAACAAATACTGCTGAATTAAAGAAAGCTGAGCTACCACTGCATTCCTCTCTGATGGGTTCTGCATTGTCGTCACTGCTAGAGCAGTTTATTTGCAGTCTGGAGGGTCTCTGCAAAGTTATCTGTACTGCTTAGGGGCTGCACAAGGGGAATGAAGGTGGAACAGCTGTTTTAGTCATGCCTTTGCTTCCATATACAAGGAACACAGGGACTCCTTGTGGACTTTACATGGGCCAGCGTGGAAAGCTGTGATACCACTGGACCAGAGCAGAGCCCAGTTGATATATAGATCAGGGGTGGGCAATTATTTCGGGCGGAGGGCCGCTTCACAAGTTTTGGTGAGCTGTCAGGGGCTGCATGGGTAGCCCCACCCCTTGACAGTTGCCCCGCCCCTAGTCACCATCTTGGGACCAGAAGTCCCGCCCCTTGCCCCCAGAAGTACTCCTTTTGGGGAGGTCACCTTGGAAATGAAAGTTACACCCTGTCACACGATCTGCATCATAAGACCTAACCACCCAAGACGAAACTGCCCCACTCACCATATCTGTCCCAGCATCCCCTGCCCTCATCACACAGTCACATAGATGTCCTTGTTATAACATCTGCCCAGGTGATTGGGGGAACTTGGTAGGTGTGCCAGTACATGCACTAGGAGCACTGGGCCTAATACGACCCCAGGCTGCCTATGGCTTCAATGGCAAGCGGTTCCTGACTACAAGGCCCAGACCTGCATAGCACAGCAATGAGCCAGCCCTACCTGTCCTGTTCTGGCTGCAGCAAGTGGTTGCCAGCTGCAAGCCTGAACCTGCATGTGGGGCAAGGAGCCAGCCAAGGCCAGCCTGGCACCACCTGGTTCCCAGCTACAAGGTCAGGACCTCATGGCCAGGCCCATCCCCTCCCAGCAAGGGTTCCTAGCTGCAAGGCAGAGGCTGGCACCCCACAATGCAGCAAATGCCAGCCCAGCCTCCCTTCCCCTCACCAGCACTGGTCACCAGACCCCTCCCACAAGCCAGGACCCAGCCCACCCCATCAGGCCCCATGCAGCAAAAGCTGGTCAAACCTCCCCTCCACCCCTCACTGGCACCAGCATGACCTGGCCTATCCCAGCCTGCCCCACTCTTCCCCCCTGCGGCACAGCAGAAGACAGCCCAGGCCCCGGTCCCCTCACTAGCACAGCCCCCTCCAGTGCTGCAGGACCTATCCCATCCCAAGCCACAGGGGGATCAGCCACAGCTTTCCCTCCCCGGTGCTGGTCCATCCGGGCCCGGCCTGGCCCCTCCCTAGTGGTATGGGACCAATGCCGGCCCAGCCGTGGCTTCCCCATGTGCTGCTAGGGACAGGATGAGCCAGGCTGGAACAGCACACAGCTCAGCTGCACCTTCCCTCTACGTGAGCCATCTGGTCCCAAGCGGCAGGAGGCTCTGCCACTGTTTTTCCTGGCTGGTGACAAGCCAAACATCCTGGCCCCTCCCGAGTCGCAGGAGGCTCTGCCGCCGCTTTTCCTGGCTGGTGCTGACCCGGCTGGGCCAGTCCCATCCAGAACAGCATGTGACCAAAGCTGGCTTCTCCACGTGCTGCTGGGGATGGGTCAAGCCCGGCTGGAGCAGCAGGGGCTCAGCTGCACCTTCCCTCTACCTGTGCCGGCCAGTCCCCAGTGGCATACGGTTCTGCTGCTGCTTCTGCTATCTGGTGCCAACCTGGCCGGGCTCATCCTGTCCCCAGCAGCACGTGGGGAAGCCACGGCTGGGACAGCCTCAGCCGCATGCCGCTTGGGACCTGCTGGACCTAGACAGGTTGGCACCAGCCAGGAAAAGCGACGGCAGAGCCTCCTGCCTCTTGGGACCAGCCGGCTCAGGTAGGGGGGAAAGTGTAGCTGAGCCCCTGTTGCTCCAGCCAGGCTTGTCCTGTCCCGAGTGGCGCACAGCTCTGCTGCCGCTTTTCCTAGCCGATGCTAACCCTGCTGGGCTCATCCTGTCCCCAGCAGCATGTGGGGAAACCAGCTTCAGCTACACACTACTCTGGATGGGGCAGGCCCAGCCAGGTTGGCACCAGCCAGGAAAAGTGGCAGCAGAGCCTCCTGCCGCTTGGGACCCGATGGCTCACGTAGGGAGAAGGTGCAGCTGAGCTCCTGCTGCTCTGGCCGGGCTCGTCCTGTCCCTAGCAGCACATGGGGAAGCTGGCTTCAGCTGCACACCGCTTTTCCTGGCCGTTGCCGACCTGGCTGGACCTGTCCCTGGCTCGGGACCAGCCCAGGAGCGGCTTTCCCTCCCTGGTGCCAGCCCAGCCCAACCCGCACAAGGCGAAGCCATAACTTCCCCTTACCTCAGCTGACCCGCGTGGCTGGTCCCAAGAAGCACACAGCTCAGCCATCACTTCTCCTCCCTGCTGCCAGTTGGGCCAGGGCTGCATGTGGCATAGCTGGCCCAGCTGCTGCTTCCCTTCCCCAGTGCTGGCCTGAGTATCATGGCACAGGAAAAGCCTGCCAGCAGCCACTTTTCTGGGCTTACCTGCAAGGCAAGATCCTTTCCAGGAGGCAGAAGTCGGCCCAGGCATACCTTCCCCTC